GCGCCTGTGGGGCTTGCGTCGACTTCACAGAGCCGAGCCTTTTCCATGGGCGGGGAGTGTGTGTGTGTGTGTGTGTGTGTGTGTGTGTGTGTGTGCGCGCGCGCGCGCCTGTGGGGCTTGCGTCGACTTCACAGAGCCGAGCCTTTTCCATGGGGGCGCAGTGTGTGTGTGTGTCCCTCCATCCAGAAGAGTGCGGTGTGGAGCGGGGGACTGGAATGCAAGAATTGCCTAAACACGGAGTTTCCAGAAGACAGGACCACTCACTCCACTGGCCAGTTCTTTTCTAAGTGCCCCGCCCAAGGGCCTGGACCTGGTCTTACTGGATCAAGCGGGAGCCTGATACACAGTCACCCTCTTAGGGTGACTTGCTGGCACGCGGCACCTAATGCACGAAAGAAACGGTGAGTCATACACATGCTGTCGGATGTCATCGTGTGACGCCATGGGAGCACAGGGTGTAGATATCTGGAATATCCTTTTTCTGAGACAACATATGATAAGCTTTTCAAAATGACTTCGCTGAGGTATGATTTGCACATAAGAGAACTCACACATTTTAAGTGTACAGCTCCATCACTTTTGACAAATTCACACACCGGATTAAGTTCTGGAGCACTTCCATCTCTCCAAAGCCGCCCCTGTGCGCCTTCCCAGGCAGCCGCTGAATCCTGTCACTGTACATGACTCTCGCCTATTCTGGGACTTGGTATATATGGAGTCATGCAAGATTTGCTTTCTGTGCCTGACTTCCTTTGTGGAGCAAGTGTGAGAACATGGGAGAATTTAACGCACCTCTGGACTCGCGCAGGTTGCTCCATGAAAGGAATGTCTGTGAATGTTTCCCGGGTCTGCTGAGGCTGGAAACAATGCTTCTAGGAATCCTGGGGTGCTGGTAAAGCACGCAGAGTCCTGGGCCGCACATGAGACCTATTGAATACAGATCTCTGTGGGTAGGATGTAGGAATCCGAATTTTAAAGTTTGAGAATTTGAGCACAGGCCAGGGTGGGCGACATTCAAAAGGAAACCACTAGACCACTAGCGTCATTGGTTACTTCTGGAAACACTTTTTGCTGGAAGCTCTGGGGATCTGGAGCAAGCCCTCCACTTACAAAAGGTGCCTCGTGACTTTTGGATGGTGAGGGCGAGCAACCTGTCCAGCCCAAGCTTTGTGGGCTACTGCTCTTCCACAGGGCTGGCAAACATGGCTTCCTAACGCCGCAGCGTAGTGAGATGCCTTTGAGGGGAGGATCTCTGTGTGGGGGCCTCAGCTCTTCTTTTGTCATCAGGAGGAGGGTCTGGCTTGGGTGGGTCCAGACTGGACAGCATTTCTCAGTGAGTGGCTTCTGGGAATCAAAAGTCAGCTGGGTGTCCGGGCCACTGGAACAGAGTGGGTTGAAAAAGTCTTGGCACCACTGAGCCTCCCAGATCAGTCTCAGCCTTAAGAGGCTATCCAGAATTATGATGGTATTATTATTATTATTATTATTTTATTATAACATTATGATGGTTAATTTTATGTATCAGTTTGACTGAGCCATGGGGTGCCCAGATATTTGATCAAGCATTATTCTGGATGTGTCTGTGAGGGTGTTTCTGGAGGGGATTAACTTTCCAATTGGTAGACTGAGTAAAGCAGATTGCCCTCCTTGGTGTGGGTGGGCCTCATCCAATTGGTTAAAGACCAGAATAGAACCAAAGGCTGAGTAAGAGGAACCCCTCCTACCTAACTGCCAGAGCATCAGCCTTCTGCCTCCCAACCGAAACATCTGCTCTTCTTGGGGCTTGAGTCCGCTGGCTTTTGGACTGGAGCTTACACACATCAGTGCTCCTGGTTATCAGGCCTTCAGACTTGGACTGGAGCTACACCAACTGCTTTTTGGGGTCCCCAGCTTGCCAACTGCAGATCTTGGAACTCCTCAGCCCCCATAATTGCATGAGCCAATTCCTCATAATAAATCTTGTTCTATATTTATATACATATACACACACACTATTGGTTTGGTTTCTCTAAAGAATCCTGGCTCGTTTTTTCTTTTCTGCTTATAAAACCAAAATATGCTTATAAAAATTCAAATGTTACATAAATGTATAATATAGAGAACCTAAATTACCTGTAACCCCATTATATTAATAGTCAGTATGGGTTTCTGCATTTGCTTAGGGTATAGAATGTTGCAAAAAACACTCTTGCCCCAACAACAATAAAAAGGTGAATAAACTATAAAGACATGACTTTTCTTGAGTTCATCGGAAAGGCAACTAGGCAATCTGAGTTCTGAGGAGAGAGGACAGCCAAACCATCTCACCTGTGGCAGGAGCACTGCAGAAAGATCCAGCCACAAGACAAGTGAGGAAGATGAAATCCAGTAAAATTTTATTGAATTGTTAAGGCAAAGAAGGGACTAATTTGTCTGGAATGGCTGGGGCCCCTCCGCGCAAAGCAAGTTCACATTCGCTTTCAGGATCTCTTCCCCGGGCCTCCACTGGATGCTCAGGAGAAAGGCCCGAGACCTGCCTCGCTGCTGAGAGTCTGCAGTGATCTTCAGCTCTTGGCATGAAGCCTTGCTCACTTCCTCAGATGCTCTCCTATGAAGCAAAATTCTGAATCCACTAGGGAGAGGGCCATATTCCCTTCATCCCCAGGAAGAAGTAAAAGCTCATGCTGGCTGGGGGAAAGATAGAAGAGAACATCCTATAACCCCCTGGGAGGGGCAAGAAGCCATCCAGGGCCCGAGAACCCGTTCTGATACCAACCGGAAATCAGCTACCCCTGGAGAACAAAAGTGCACCCAAGACATGCCCAAGACTGAAGCCAGGCCAGGATAGCATGCCCCTACCCCAAGCTGCGGGAGGAGGAAAGGCACAGAGAAGGATACTTTCTATGCTGCCCCAAGCTGGAAGTAGGGTACAAACACTGAGAAAAAGCCTGCCACACCCCAGCTCCACCCCAAGCCCGGGTGGCCGCTGCCGCCGGAGTCTGCATCTGCGGGGCTCTGAAGGTAAGGATGGCGGCAACGGAACCCACACCCAGCTCGACTCCTGCCTACATCAGCTGATTCCCCACGATAGACTCGAAACAAAGAGCAGCATGCCTGTTCCCCAGAGTGCACACTATACTGCTGTCTCTTCTACTGTACAAATAACATTCAGCATTCAAGGAAAAAACACTGTTGATAAATAAAGCCATCAACAGAATCAGGCTCAGATATAACCCTCCCAGATGGGGACATTAAAATAACTGTGATTAATATGTGGAAGTGACTCGTAGGAAAGATGGACAACATGCATGAGCAGATGGGGAATAATTTTAGCAGAGAGAAATTATAAGAAAGAGTCCAGCGGAGATACTACAAGGAAAAAAATATATATATATATATACCAAAAACGACCCCAGAAATGGAGATATTGGTGGATGAGCTCAACAGTAAAGTAAGCCCAGTTGAGGAATGTATGATTTGCCGAAGGATTATAGATATGACACCAATGGACCATCAACGAAAGAAAAAACAGATAAATTCGACTTCATTTTTATTAAAATGAAAAATGTTTGTGCCACAGAGGACACCAACAAGAAAGTGAAAACCCACACAATGGAAGAAACTATTTGCTGATGCTAGGATGTAAAATAGTCAAACTGCTTTGGAAAACAGTCTGGCAGTTCCTGGGATGGCTGCACACAGAGTTACCAATTCCACTCCGTGGTATAC